GTTAATTCAGAGTCTAGCCATAACCTCACAGATGTGAAAAAGAAATTCAAAAATTCCTCCACAATAATGAGATAGTTGCTGCAGGACAATGATATAACTGCAAAAAGACACAGGCACTGTGTCTTAACCTTGCTTTTATATATGACTATAACAAGACAACAACCAGTTGGCAACCAGTTGCGTCAAGTCCTCTATTGCAAAGAGACGTTGCAGACGAGTTATGCTCACTGGAGCAGACGGAGATCGACTGCAATGTGCAAGCAACCTGTCTGTTAAACCAGACAATTATAACATTTGCCAATCCACCTGTGAGTGATTGCAGTTAGTATGAGTTGGGCCAGGATTCTCTGGAGACAGGTTGCCTCCCACTAAGCGACCTTTGCAATTACCTTAAAAGCAATCGAGGTTGAAGGTGTTTCATGCTCAGTCTGTCAGAGATCAATTAGCTGCTGCAAGTACTTCGAATCGGTCACCAAATGTGCACAAGGAGGAGGTTGCGGTCCTATTTTAATTCTAGTGTGACTGAGCCATTAGCAACATTTCTACTTCTTTGGTTTGCCATTTAATGTCAATTTTTAAAGTATGAAAAACACAACTTTCATTATGCACTAAAAGCCTTGTTTGTTTTCTCAATTTGCCATTAACAATGTATAAGACAGGTTTGAGCATGGTTGATAAATACCTGCCGGTAATTACCTATTCGCTGTGCCTGAGTATAGCGGCGGCTTAAAATTTAACTTGATCTAACGGCACAACTTTATCAACAGAGGTATGCAAACATAGCAGTCAGTGACAGAAATGCACTAAAGCAGGTGAAAGCTTGTGACACTAGTATCAACCAGTCTTACTGTACAAAAGAACGAAGATAAAGCCTGATATTGTCTCACATGGGAATAGGCAACTTCCCTTAGGGGATAGTACAGTTAATCTTACACAATCAAAACATTCACACAGACTCCGCAACAAAAAAGCAAATACTGCCAGCAAGCACCAGCTAAATATAAACAGGGACGACTTTAAATGTTTCCGCTTCAAGCACATGTAAATGTCTTTCACATCATATCAGACAGGTTTGACACAGGTGTTTAATAAAGAGCTGGTACAGTGATGTGTTCTCCCTTTGTCTCATATTTGATGCAGTGTCCACAAGCACTGGTTATTAAATGTTCTGTGCAAACAGTATGTTTAACAGTTCCTATACATGTCAACTATATGTGTGTTTTAAAGGCTTTGGGTATTTTCTCATACACTTTTGTACAACTGACAATTTAGAAGTGATGGCTGCTTTTTTAAGATGCAATTCATAAGTAAAACAACTACGGCCTCAATAACACAGGCTTAGAGACCAGTCTGTGAACCCCTAGGGAAAAATGTGTTCTCTGACTGAATCACATGTGATTTATGGCAGTCACTGGGTGAAATTGGTTGCAAAGGGGCATACAGTGTGGAGCCTAAAACATTTTTCCTAGTGACTCAGGGATGGGGGATACATCACTGAATGGTCTCAATACCTGTGTGACTTAAGCATAAACAAGCATTAATGTAAGTCAATGAATGAATTGACAGAAAATTACTCAACAACCACCTTAATAAGAAATTTATCATATTAGCAGATATTAGTGGCTATGATATCCCACTGGACAGTAGGGCTGGGCGATATGGCCTAAAATTCATATCGCGATATAATTTGAAGCATGTGCGGTAACGATATATATCGCGATATATTCTTTTCTTCTGTATAACGTATTTTCCACACTATAAGGCACACTTAAAATCCTTTAATTTTTTCAAAAATCGAGAGTGTGCCTTATGTATGAATTCTGGTTGTGCAAAGTTTTTGACTTTCCCCATATTTCAAAAGTGCTTCATCTCTTTGCTATGACTCTCGGCATAATTTGAAGATGATAATGGTTGTAGTCACTGTGATGCTTTTGACCAAAACAGGCGTAGCTTGATGACATCATCAACATGTGCTATCGCGATAGAGCAGTATAGTCAAAATCTCTATCGTTGGCCAAATTTATATCGTTTCTATCGTATATCGTTTATATCGCCCACCCCTACTGGATAGCTCAGCATATTTGGATTTTTTCAGACACCCTTCCTGATTTATGGCCTTTTCAAGAGATTCATATCTACTCCCAGGACATAACCAGTGATCTTTTGCTTGTTAGGTGAGTGTGTAAACCCATACACTATGTATCCATTTAGATCAAATAAATAAAATGTATGACTTAATATAAACCTTTTATCTGTGGGTTTTGGATATTTGCTCACCTTCTGAATACACTTTAAGATGTTCAAAACTACAGTTTGGCTTTCACGATACGACAAAAAGCTGTAATTATGCGACAATGTTTAACAGTGCAACGATATATGTTGGCTATACAGATGCTATTACTTTCTGCTTTATTTGTAACGAAAAAAAAATACTATTTTGAACATTACAGCAACCATTAAAAAACCATGAAAGTTCCTATTCTATGTCAAGGAATGTTTTGCAGTGTTTTTAATCACATATTGTAAGATTTATTGGTCATCAATAACTTTAACACACATTTACAATATTCTCTTATATTTTAAACACTAAGTAAATAATCTGCAGGTAAAAAATATTGTTACAGCGATATATGCATGATGGTTAAATTCTGTGCTGATGCCAATGTTAAAATTTTGTTAATTTTGTTGTTTCTGTGTAATTTATTTCCTCTTTTGTACAAAGGAAACAAAGAAGCCTTCATTAAGATTAACTGTAAAGTTAACATCAGTGAACATTTAGGCATCACAAAACCGATGTGAAACACGTGGCCGTGATTATACATCAGTGGATCCCTACGAATACTGGTAGCTGTAGGAGTAGTTCAGCACAAACATCATGCTTCTCGGCCTCTCGGCCTCTCATGAACTCATGTTGGAGAGATTCACTGTACATCACTGAGACAGCCAACACACTGACAGAGCTCATACCTGGCAGCGCAGTGAATCAACCACCCCGCGGCTCTCTCTGCATGCCAACCACATATCCAGCTGACTCAAGACCGCACGCAACATGATAAAACGGACTCCTTTGAAGACTTTAAAGTATGCGTAGAAACCAATTTAAATGTTAAATAATAGCCAACAAAAACAAAAAGGCTCTAATCTGAAATCCCCACATATTCAGACTCTACAGGGAGGAATTGTGAGGTTTCTTGTCTGCTTGTGGACTCATAGTGACAACAACAAACATGGTGATGCAGCTCTTCTCTGCTGGAAGGAAAGGAAGGGCAGGGGGCTGCCTGCCTGTGTGATCCTCTGGCGCTGTGGGTGAGTACAATGGAAAATAGTCCCCATTGCTAATCCATGGCAGGCTAATTACAGCTTTGATCCCCTAAGCGTGTGCATCACTGTTGGTGGGTGGGAAGGAGGCAACACACTACTGGGCTCAATACCGTTATGGCAAAACTGGCTTGGCTCAAAGATGTCTCCATTTACTCACAAACGGTGCAGAGGTGGAACCAATATGCTGTCAAATCTTACATACACTATATTAATACAAAGGTCATAAGAGTCCTTAAACCATCAGCCAATAATTTTATGAGCATACAATCCTTCATCGAGCAAATCCACCAGCTTCACAATATGATCCAAAGTCACCGACAAGGTTACCATTTACTCCACTGAGCAGCACATGAAACCCAACTCCTGGAGACATGAGACACAGATTAAGTGGGTAACTGGAGTTTCTGTCTAAAATAGGCCGCTGCTCTGATGATAGCCTAGTCCCAAAACACATGGTGGTGGAAATACAGCAAGGGAGGAGGAGGACAGAGGAGGATGAAGGCTGAGGATGAGCAGCAGATAACTTGGAATTATCTAGAGCTTGAGCTCCACACCTTTGCTCATTATGCCATTAGTGTAATGGTGGCTTATTAGCCTAGACCAATATCACTCCAAGCAGTATCCTTTTAATTTACTGTTTGCTGTCTTGAGCCACAGCAAAATGTCAGTATGGAAGAAGGAGTGTAAAAAGTAAGACACAAACATGCTTAGCTTTATGATCACTTTGAAAAACCTCCACCATCTCCAGTTCATAACCTGTGCTGTTTTAAAGGAGGTTTTTGTGGGTTTTCAAGTGGCTTGCATTAGTTATCCCACTATCAATCAGGATCCCCCTCCCCATCTCAATGATGGCCATTTGATGTGTATTAATAAAGCATATTTAAATGTAGGTGCAGTTACACTAATACTGCTTGGTTGACACTCAGTTCCAAGGCACTTGGGTCAAAGCATACAAATAGACCTCAGCACCCAGTTTTGTTTTGTTTTTTTAAATCCAGCCTTACTTTAGTCATCTATTAAACAGCCCTAACCTCCATGAATGACGCTATATCAATAAAGTTTGATTAACTTATTGACTGATTAATTGATTGAGCAGCAGAGGCATGCATTAGGTGAATTAGCACAGCATTGTTTAAGTTATTTGTTCATACCTAAGCCATTCCAGCATGTAACTATAGGAATGCATCTATGACGGGACCTGAAATCACCTTGAAGCTGCTGCAAGTTTAAGGTTATTATGGTATAAATGCACACACATAAACAGACTGGCCATGCTAGCGTGTTTCTACACATGGGTTATTTATTCAGAAGCAACGAATCCGCCTTAAAAAAAGTTATAAATGCAGTCGAGAGTTTTAAACCTGGGACTTCCGCTTGTTGTTTTTTTTGGTTTGTTTTTTTTTTTAATAAAAATATCAAAATAAAACCGTTTGTTAAAAAAAAATGCTGCAACGTATTGTGCGATTCAACTACGTATAAATTTATGTTTGTATAAATTGCGGTGGATACATGTAGTTGGCGGGGTAATGTCACAACACAATCACTGTTTAACCTTAAACACTGAAGACACCGTGCAGTCCTAACGGTCACGCAGCTATGTTAGCCAGGTAGTTAACTGCTAGCAAACGGTTGCTCCGACACTGCCACGAAGCCTGAACCTGTACGCCAACGTTAGCTACCTTAGCTCGGCTCGAATGCTGTTAGCACGCCTGTTACAGTCAGCAGCTGTTGGACATCCTCGTTTTTCCATCAGTCGTGACCAGGCCGGGGCTGCTGACTGCTGCCAGCCTGGCTCCAGCCCAGAGCAATCTGCTGTGTGGTCCTTTTCCTAAAAGACACCCCGCAGACGTTGAAGCTTCCTTGCCGCGGTTTTACATCCACATCAACACAACAACTGTGCTGTGATGTTCCAACTCATCAGCAGCAGCAGCAGCCCCGGTCTGCGACTACCTGGAAAATCCTTCCTCTTGTAATAGTAAATTAAATACTCACTCGAACTGAAGCTGGTTATAGTGATGCTACACAGTGGCTCTTTTGGGGAATCGGGAACCGTGTTTGGTCAGAGCGGTCACCCAGGTCGTGTATCTTCCCTTCTTCAAATGGTCCCTCGCTCCGCCAGCAGTACCTCCGTATGATCTCTCCACACTGCAATGATGGTGCTGAGGTACAGCGAGACACGATTGGCCAGGCTGAGCGGAACTCAGTGAGCTTTGGTAAGCAGAAATCTCCGGCGACCTGCAGGGGGAGTAGCAGTGGTGCGTTCAAGCCCGTTGGAAAAGTTACAATCAATGGTTTAACACGCTCATATTGCCACAGATAGCCGTTATTTTATTTATTTATTTATTTTTTTAAATGTGTATGATTATCCCTTCAGAGTCTGAAACCCACCATAAGCCACTGAATCTGTTTAAGAAAGAAAAGATAAAAAGATTAAGATAAGAATTTAATATCCCGTTGTTACAGCAGTTAAAAAATTAAACCGAACAAATATATGAGATGTGATATCTTAAATAGCTGAATGGTATGCAGCTCAGTAAAACAATACAGCATGACAAAGCATATATCTAGAGAAGGTAAGACTATTGTGAAATCAGAATAAATACAGCTTAATAAATGTAGTAAAACCAGCATAGCAAATACATAACTTAAACAAATATTCAGAGCTTTGCTGTTTAATTTTTAATGAAGAATAATTTAAATTACATTAAATTAACTTTCAATTGTTACAATTTAAACATAATGTTACCAGACAATGTATGAATAATAAAGGGACTTATTATAGCATATTTGCCTCTGACACAGATTTGCCTCTGTGCAACAGGGCAAGCATGACTGTTTTGTTCCACAGTATGAGGGTCCACCTACCCCTTGCTGCAACACTCAGTGGGTGAAAGGTGTTAGACAGGAAGCTGTTTCTAAAGAGTTTATTTTTACAGAGTTCAGTCAGGCTTCTGGTTGAACCTCGAGAGATTTTACAGACAGAGAAGCAGGATTATCATCCGTAGTGGTTCAGTGTTTAACGTGAGGCTCAAATCTCTCAGCACACGACTATCCCAGCATGACACAGCATGATACACACAAAATCCAAAGAATGAACTAATGTCACTTTGTTGTGGAAAATGCAGTCATAGGCGTTCAAACGGGCAAAAAGATTATTTGCTAAGGGAAAAAGTCAGGTTATTGCAAATTATGATCCAGTTAAGTGATACATTTATATTTTTTCCAGCTTGTATGAGAAATTTATTTTCTCTCTGGTAAAAACAAAGAAACAATAAAACAAAACAAAACAAAAAAATCTATTGCAATGACAAATTCATATAGCACATTTAATTGTATGTAAAAATCAAAATGCTTAACATAGAAGCAAAAACACTTTACAGAGAGTTAAACACAGTTAAATTTAGGCCTGTGAGAAAAAACAAGGTTTTGAGTCTGTTTTTGGATTAGACAGAGTTGTAACTGACCTCAGCACCACAGCTATGCCTGATTTAGACTTCCGCGGGAAATCTGCATCATAACTTACAATGTAACCTCGAAATGTCCTTTAACCCTTCGCAGCAACCTTCTAAATGACATGAGGTGCACCTCCCAAGACATGTAACCCTATGTTGGGGTCGATGCAGCCGACAACGATTGAGTGGCGTGTGGAAGGTTGCAGCTGACAGTTAAAGGGGGTTTCGTCATAAGTTAGACTGTAAACTTTTCGCAGAAGTCAATCTTAACTGAAAACACCCTCACCGCATTTAGATCTAATTTTGTAACTGATGAACTAGGTTCTCTGTGAACCATATTCGTGTCCTGATTATTCCATATTTTTCAGTGCTTTTTAAAAAAAATCTGCAGACAGTATATTTTCTTTAGTGGCAGATGTCGAAAGTTTTACATGTGCAGGTCTAGGCACGGTGGCACATACCTCTGCAGTGAAGTATGTAAACAAAAAAAGTACGTCAACAA